TTGCTGGCCAAGGTCACAGAAAATTCATTCTGGATTCCTGGCCTTTTGGATCCCCATTGGGCAGCTAATCCAGCTTCTGACCTTGGCGCAAGCTTCCCGTTGTCCCATGCGCTTGGAGGGCCCTTCAGGATCAAATTCAAGTTACAAACAGAGCTTTGTGTTTCTTCTAGGGTAGTTGGAGGCTTGGGTTTTTATTGTCATGGTAGCAAGTTGCTACAGACCCAGTTTAAAGAAGCATTTCTTCTATATTTTCTTCTAGTTCTGGAGGACAAAGTTCTACTCAGTATCACTGGGCCAAAGCCACAGTTCACAGGGCAGTGGTTCCTGTGGGTTGCTGGGAAAGAATCCATTTGCTTGTGTTTTCCTGCTTCTGGAGCTGCATTGCCTGCATTCCCTGGCTTGCCGATCCTTCCCCCTTCTTCAAAGATGCAGTGTAGCATCAGTAAAATGCTGATTCGCTGGGTTTTTACTTTCAGGCATGGACAGTCTTGACACTGGGTGAGATTTGGGTACAAAACCTGACTCTGAAATTCTTGGGCACTGTAATTAATTGCTTAAACTTCCACCCACTAGGGTGGAAGGCCCATAGTGGTTCCCCTAGAGGGACTCCTCAGCTCTTCTTTTCCTCCTGCAAGATCTCCTAGGCCAGCAGTTGCCCTGAAAACATGGCCCTGGGTGACCTGTGTCAGGGTCTTATAATGCTGGGGGCCCTGCTCACCTAAGCTCAGCACTCCTGGCTAAATCTGGTTCCAAGTCCACCAATGAGCAAAGTCTCCCTTGCAGCCAGACTTTCACAATGACCAGCTAAGGGCTCTGGAAGGCAAGCTGCAGGAAGGTATTGGTGAGAGCAACAGTGTGAGCAGAGGGGAGGAGAGGAAAATGGACTCTGGGGCAATAATGTCTGGGAGCAGCAGAACTCAGGGGGGCCAGAACATGTGAATGGCAGGAGGGTACATCTTTAGTTCCTCTGCATAGAGTAGAAAGCTGAAACTCCTGAAATTCTACCAGCTGCTTTCCCTGGGTGACCTCATCCCAGACAACTCAGGTCTAACTCCTCAGCCATGGATTTCCTTGGTCATGAGGTGTCCCAGCTCCTGCTGGCTTCTCAGGGCAGGACCATTCCTCGCACCCTGCTCTCCAGGGATTCCAGCAGGGAGATAAGAGAGGGATGGCTCTGGGGACATCCTCAGGTTCTGAGTGTCATCAACCCCTTGTGGTCCCAGGGGAAGTGGTATATGTGCTCCAGGGAACATATATTCGATATGAAACAAAAGCCATCTAGACACCTTCAGTCTCACCTAGGACTTGAAAGATGACCACAACCACAATACCAACTCCTCCTTGCTCAGATAAAGATGCCATCTCCTGGGAGTCTGCAGGCAAATGGATATCACAGTCATGGGGTAAACAAAGTGAGAAGCAGTGTCGTTCATGTCACTGCCTTGCACTGAATCGATCTTCCTTCCTCTTTTCTTCCCTGCTTCCCTTCCTTCTGCCCTCTTCTTTCTTCCCTTTTCTGCGTTCCCTTTCTCCACTACTTCCTTCTTTCTTTCAGTCAAGGTCATGGGCTGCTCCAAAGTCAACACCCACCTTCGGGAGAAAACAAGACAGAGAGGGTGCTGTCCTAAAAATGACAATGCACACCACCCAGCATGGGACCACACCCAAGGCTCATCTAGGGCTTCTTGGGGAGTGCCATCCTGCCTTTAAGCCTAGCAGGCTCTGCTCCAGCAGCTTAGGTAAAGGCATCAAAAGCTTGAAACCAGCCTGGGCAAATAATGTGAGACTGTGTTTCCAAACACATACTTAAAAAGGACTGGGAATTTAGTGCACTGTGAAGGCCCTAGGTTCAATCACTACTTTGCTTCCAATACCATATAAAAGAGGAGATTCATAGGCCACAGCAGGGGTTGGACTCGGAGTCAGAGAGCCTCACTGTAGGAGGAAGCAACGTAGTCAGCCAGTGGCGTGGCCAGCAGAGCAGGACCACGTGTTAGTGGACCATCAGAAGAGTACTGATCGGAACTGGCAGCTCTCTTATTTTGTGTCTTAAATACCTGGGGTTCTTCTGTGGGCACCCAAATCAAATCAATATATATGTGGGAGACTAAGGATCCTGGCAAGAATCTCCAAGTTTGTGAAGTCCCTTATTTTGGAAGCTGATGGTATGCTGTGGTGAAGAAAATGGCAAGCTGGACTAAGGCACATGTCCCCATCCTATTTGGAGGTAGGAGACTATGGAGGTTCTTTCCACAGAATGCCGCCATGCATTAGCCCTGGTGATGGGAAGGAACAAGTAGCTGTGTGGTTCACACGACACGTAAGACATTGGTGCATGTAGTCAGGTCTTCTATGGGTTCAGTGAATCATTCTCCGGACACAGAGAGACACGAAGAATAACATATTCTCTCCAGAGAAGGGAGGCTCCTCCTTCAGGCTCAGTATGTACAACAAAGAAGAATAGCAGCAACACTCTGCTTCCAAGTCTAATTTCTCCTTCCTCTAATAAAACCACTGTGCAGCACATCTCTTCAGGGTCAGCATCTCATCTCAAAGAAAGGGAGGCCCCTATTCCTGTGGCCTTGCCATAGTTCAATCATAGCAGCCATTTTATTAAGAGCCTGCACTGGAAAGTGGACCCAAGCATTGCAGTTATCTCCTTATGACCTGTCTCATTCTCTAAAGTCTGCCTAAAGTCCTTTGCTGTTACTATTTTCACCCTTTATAGGATCATTGTTCTGGAATTTAGGGAACTGGCTCAGTAAACATTTGGTGGAGAAGAGTTAGATGCAACCACAAAGACCAGCCTGCTTAGAGGGTTGACTGTGTTACATTTGCTTTGTGTCATACATCTGAGGTGCCACTTTATGTTGTCCCAGCTCTAGAATGGCTGGGTTATTGATCTTAATGAATATAAGACTGTGTATTTGGAGTTGGCAGTCAGGTAGAGGTGTGATCTTGAATACAGGTAGGCTATCTTTTGGGGGTATCCCAATTACAATCCTCCAGCTGTTCCCTACTGTCCACTGCTAATGGTGAGTGGTCCTCTGGACATCACTGCACCTGGCACAAGGAAGGGTGTGATAAACTGAGTAGAATTCTGGGCAAAGGAAGATATTTTGCACCTGAGAGAGCTGTCTCTGCTACATTTAAGCTTTCACAAGACAGTATTTGGCACGCATCAAATCTCAAAGTTAGAGAAGATGTGGTGTTTGTTATCTGCATTTTCAGCCTTGCAGTCCAGCGTTCCTTTTCAATTTGCTCATCCCCCGCCTCCACCTCCATTTTTCAAATTCCAGGCCAATCAGCTTCTAGAGGGGGGAAGAGCTCCTGTTTTTGTCTTTCTTACACTCAGCTTTCAAAGGTTTCTGAGGTGACCCTGATACCTCCCACTGTGATACTGTGAGTTCCTGCACTTGTGTATCGTGAGTCCATCCCATTTCAGCAGTCCTTGTGGCTACACTGTTGGTCAGGAATGCTTGTTAGTGGTCTTATTGCGTCAGTTGAAGTATGTCATCTTTTCAGCACTAGGTCACCAAATTGGAAAGAGTGGACAGTGAACTCTAGAAGTGGGATTAGGATTAGGAGAACTTAAACTTTTCATCACAGTCAAATAAACATTTCAATATATATATGAATATATATATCCATATTTACTTAGGTGTATAATCATCCTTACTTATGTCAACAATTCCTGTGGATAAGTCATGAGAATCAGTCATAATAATTAACATGATTTGGCTATAATACCATTATCTATCTATTTATCATCTATCTATTTATCTATCAAATATCATCTATCTATCCATTTTTTTGAATTATTGTATGCAGCAAAAATAGGCATTATATTTATAAAGAAATTTGTATATCATTTTGATTGTCTACCAGTCTGAAAGGGAAGACGTCATTGACTTTAAAGTCTTCTTTACTTTTACCAACTCATTTAAATTAGCCCACTTTTAAGCTGTGTAAACCAAGAAGCGTTAGTCTAGTATCAAGAGTCTCTCTATGTAAATAACTTAGGTAGGCCTTTTTCAAGGATAATATGCACCTGAAAGTTAGCACAGAAATGTATATATTGGCCTAAATCAGGTATAAATTTTGTGTGACCAACTGTTAAGGCTTTTATTTTAAGTGCCTTCTAAGCCTATAGATCAAAAGTAAAAGTAAATATAAAATTGATATGAACTCAAAAATTATTAATAAAGTAGCCTTCAGTATCTTCACAACTGATTAAAAAAGATTAATAGGAAGATGAACAGAAAAGATAGCATACAGAACACATAAAACACTTCTATTTAATCAAAGTGCAATGTTAGATATATTTGACATGTTAAATTATAATACTGTTCTTATAGTTACAGGTTTACAACTAAAAATACACTAGTCAGTTAGAATCCCCACCCTGAGGTTATAAATTTGTGCTCCCATTTGTAGTGGTAAGTCACAACAGTATTTCCTTTAATATTTTAAACTACTCTGAGTGCCTTTTTGTTACTTAACATCATAGACGTATAACCCATAAGAATCAGAAGGGTGAGAGAAGACCTCTGAGAGTTTGAATCTAGAGGTGATATTTGGGAATAGGCAGTGTCTTGGTTACTTTTCTCTTATTGCTGAGACAAAATACCCGACTCCCAGAATTAAGGAAGGAAAGGTTTACTTAGCTCCCAGTTTGTGGAGGTTTCGGTTCATACTCCGCTAGCTCCAAGGCAGAGTGATGCATGGGCAGAGGGCAACTGTTCATGGCAACAGTAAACAGCAAAAGCAGCAAGAGCAAAAAAAGGGAGAAACAGAGAGAGTAAGCCTGTTTCCCTCCCTTACACTGTGTGCAGGCTCCCCACCCCAGGGTGGGTGTAGCACTTACACCCATAACCTGAGCACTGGCCCACAAATCACCAAAAACTCTAGAAGCCCGCCCATGACTGCTTGAGGCTTTAGGGGACATCCAGACACAAACCATAACAGAGAGTGAGTTACCCATAGTCATCTAAGATTTATTGGGTGTCTTTAACATCTCTCTTGTGTACTTTTGGAAAGAGATAAAGAAAGGAAAACTAGGTTAGTCCACATGCACAATGCCCTCAAAACTTATTGGAACTGCCCAAAGAGGCTGGTCTGCCCTGAGTTTTGTCACTGACCAGTCTAGGTATCCCTGCTAGTCATGCAGAAAAAGCTCATATTCAGTGTCAGTCCCAGAAATGAACGTTATAGCCTTTGTCTAAAAGGACAGGTTAGACCAGAGGACAGCTGGGACCTGGGGAGTAGTGAGTGATGATATGAGTCAGGCCCACAGCCCCCTTGTCTCCCTTGAGCTGCAAGGAAATTTTAGAAGTATATACAATATGCCTTTGTACTTACAGCTTTTCATACTCTCTGTTTTCAATCTGACTGATTATAGTTTTTGTATAACAAAGCTGGCAGCTGCTGTTTGGAAGTTAAATTGTCCCCCTTATTTTCTTTGGTCTCAGGTATATTCTGCCCTTTAAAGCCACCAGATATGCTGTGGTCCAGTGTCCCATCCCACATATGTTCCCTCTGCATCTCCAAGACAGCTCCAGGAGAACCCAGAGCCTAAGGTGAGGGTGTGTGCAGAGTGCCCATCTGTCCTTTCCAAGCCCTGTCCCTGCCCTTCTTCCCCTTTCAGGATGGCATCTTTACAAAAGCAAAGTTCATCTCAGCAGCCTCCTTGTGTCACCTGCTTCCTTGAAGTTCTCATCCTGGGCCTAGGCTCCCACCTCCACACACAGGATGACCTGCCCGATGTGCCCAGACTTTGGGGCTCATGTACCCTATGGGCAGGGCCAAAATAGAACCCAGCTACACTCATGCCAAAACCAGTGAGGCTGAAGGTGGAACCAGCAGCTGGAAACTGGACTCAAGAATGAAAGGCAAAGGTAGATCCTGGGTTGAATCACAGGCCTGACCCTAGGTGGAGGCAGAGAACTGGGAAGCCTCCGATATCTGTGGGCCCATCTCCTCAGCCAATAAACTCGAGCTTTGTGTGAAAGTCTGTCCCTAAACTGGGCACTGTCCACACCAGAACTGAGTTTCTCCCAACTGCCTCCATTCTCTACATCTGGGCAGGAACATCTACAGGCTTCCCAAAGGCCCAGACAGTGGAAGCTTGAGCCCAGGGCTAGGCAAGCCAGACCTAGAGAGGGGCAGGGCATCCTGGAATGGTATTCTGCACCATTCTACCTCTGTTACCTCCCCACAAGAGCAAAATCAGACAGGTAGTTTACAAGGCCTCCTGTGGCTTCCAGAGACCCCAGAACACAGCCGCACGACCTGGGATCTCTTCCCTACCTCCCCCACACCTCCTGCATAGCAAGCAGAGACCACACACCACCCTCACTTGGCCCTCAGCTTACCTCCTGTTCTTCGGTGCTTCCCTTAAGGCTCTCAGGGATTACATCTGTGCACCGAGGGTACTCAGTCCAGCCTGGGGCCTTAGACCCAGCAGGAGGGACAGTTCCTTTTAAGCACTGTCCCATAATTGGGCTGGGGAAGGAGAGGGGTGTGGAGCTCCCATACTTCTGGCTCTTCTCAATTGCTTCCAGGAATGTGTGTCATGGTCTCCATGTGAAAATCACCCACTGTCCCACTCCTGTGAGTGCGGCTGAGGACCTGGTGGCCTTTCAGCCAGACAGCACGCTTAGTGCTGCTCACCCTTTGAGAAATGCTCAGGATGAGGTAGCCCCTGTCGCCATGAGCCCTGGACATGAGTATTGGCAGGGAAATGGCAGGCTGTTCAATGACACCCTATTAGCAGGCTCACTCTTGCATGGCCGCAAAAAGTGTGATCCTGGCCAGGACCCACCTGAGATGCACACCTATGTCCCAGGGTACAGTGGTGCAGTTCCTGGGCCTCTTCTTCCTATTCTAACTAGCATTCTGCATGGCTGCAGCAGTGTCCTATTTTCCTATTGGATGTCCGGGAGTGTAGCCCATGCTCACCAGGGGGGCCAGGCCATGGTACATGTCCAACGTGGTGACAGGAAGTGGGAATGAGGTAGATCTTGTGGAGATGAGATGGATCTTGAAGCCTGTGATAGGGGCCACCAGCATCTTTCACTGAAAAAGCTCTGCCTTCATTTCTAGGAGTCAGGTGGAGGGGCGGTGGGGACCACACAATTTGTGCCCATGGGTTTCAGACAGCGGTGTTTCAGCTGTTGGTCCTTACCTCAAAGTGAGGACCTAGTTGACAATGCTTTTGGATGCTGCATTGCATCTTTGAAGGTGGAACAAGGGGCTAACAAGCCAAGAAATCGAAGGAAAGCAGACCCAGAAGCTTCAAAAGGCAGGGAATTGGATTTTTGCCTAACCACTGCCAGAGAACCCTTACTTGCACACTGTGATCTCAGCTCAGTGAAACATTCAAACTCTCAGCTGCAGAACGTGAAGAGCATATGTGTCTGCTGTCTTAAACTGATGGTTTTGACAACCTGTCACGGAGGCAATGGGAGGCTCATATCTCCAGCCACCCAGGTAGGAAACACACAGACCTGTTTACTCCCAGAGAGTTTGATTCTCAAAGGCTCACTAGGAGCAAGGGCTGATGGGAAACTCTTTCTACCTTTCTATCTTTGATTTTTAAAAAATTTTATTTTAAAGAGAAGAAACTGTTCAAAAATAAAGAGGGACTGGCATGGTGGGGGCAGGAAATCTCAAGGAAGGGAAAAGGAAAAATTATTTCTGACTAAGGTCAGGTACAAGTTTGGATGCCCATAGGGGATCCAAAGGGCCAGGGAGGCAGGGCGATGACTGTCTCCACTGCTAGGAAATGGGGCTCTGCAGACAGACCCCACATGGCCCTGTCTTCCTGGAATCGCTCTGCCTCAGACACAGTTCTCATCCTACCTTAGAAGCCCAAGTGGCACCAAACGACTTCACCTCGTCTGTCCAGATCTGTGACACCTGCTGGTGGCCTTGGGTCTCTGTTTTATTGGGTACTGGGCTGGGGTGAATGCAGTGATTGCTTGAAAGTCAGAGTGGACACGACAGTTTGTGTATCTGTATGGTGGGAAGCTGGGGTCTTTCAGAGTCACCCCACTCAGATGATTGCACATGTAAGGATGAGGAAGAGGCAAAAGAATCCCTGTGTGTTGAACCCATTGGGAGGGGGGAGCTGGTGTTGCCAGTGTGGGCACTGGGGCCGTGCAGATCAGACACAGACCCAGGCATGCTTGTCTTCTCCCTGCAGGCTGGGTTCCAGGCGTCATATTGCCCTATCACACCTGGTCCTGCCTTGGCTTCAGAATGCACTCCCAGGTGATCTGGACATGAACTTAGTGGGGGGAGTACAATGACCAGGTTGGTATGGACACGGTCCCTCACTGGTAAGGTCAGTTGGTGAGGACCAGGTCCACAGCTTGTGGGTGTTGGGACGAGCCCACACCTACTCACCCTCTGCTGACAATAGCCCACATTCTCTGCCACACTCACCATTCACCCTCTTGTCTTAGTTACCATGAAACAGCATCCAGAGGTGTCTGGAGAGCTGGGGGTCGCTGTGCCTTGCACCCTCTCAGGACCTTTCCACTACCCAGGCCTGATGGAGCTTCTTCTGCACAGCCTGTTGCAGGTGACCAAGTGTTGGCCTGAGGTAAGCCCTCAAAGGTGCTTCTCTTGGATGGGTAACTGCCCTAAGGGTGCTGTGGAGGCAAGCTCAGAATTGGTACTAGATGCGCCCTAGTTAAGCAGGGAGCGAGTACAGCATAGGTCTGTCCAGGACATCCTCATGGCAGTCAGAGGCAATGATGGGGGCTGAGGGTCTGGAGCTCTGCTTTGCTCCCTCTTTGGGCACGCTAACGCCAGGCTGGGCTCTGGGGAGAGCAGTTCCTGGTAGTGAAGCTGCTGGAGCCCATCTTTGCTCTTCCCTGCCCTCATGGACCAGTGCACAAGGAGCACACCCTTGGAGTCTATTATGATTGATACATTGTGTCAACTTGAAGGGTCTAGAGGTTTGGCTAAGTAACTTAAGAGTTCTACATCTTGAGATAAAAAACACATGCCCTTACCCTTCTTGGATGTTGCTTATTATATTAATTTAAAAAGTTTGAAAGGTTAGCTATGTAACTCAAAAGGGAGCCAAGGTGCTTACTTTGTATACATCTGAGCCTGTGAAAGAGGAGGGCATAAAAATTATGTGAGAGATACACCCCCTGGGTGAGAGTAGCCTGTTTACAAAATATATATATATAAAAGATGTTGCTTGTCTCCATTTCTCCTTTTTGCTCTTGTTTTTGCTGTGTTCTGCTGCTATAAACATTTGCCCTCTGCAATTTGCCACCCTTCCTTGGAGCCAACCAAGTAGAGACTAAAACTTGTACAAACTATAAGCTAAACAAATCTTTCCTTCCTCAATTTTGGGCACTGGGTATTTTGTCTCAACAACAACAACAAAATAACCAAGTCAGAGTCTCAGTACCAAGTGTTTATTTAGAAGAAAAGTTCAGCTCCGCCAACAGGGTACTTTGGGGGAGATGGATGGGCAGCAAGAAGCGTCTTCCAACTCTCTTACTGACGTTGTGGACAGTGGTTCAACTGGATGGCACCTACGGCTGAGTTGACAAGAGTAGCAGAACATGTAGAGACAGTAGGCACCTAAGTAGGGATAGCAGAGTGAAACAGCTGGGGTTTGTAGTTGGGGCATGGGAAAAACAAAGGTGGTCCCAAGACCCCCAGCCCACCCAGGCATCCCATCAGCCCCACTCCAGCCATATTTACTGTGTGTTCTGTCAATGTAGTCAATCGCATTCAGCTGTGGGAGAGAAAGAAAATTAGTGCAGGTCTGAGTGGGTTTTGGTGTTTGTGTATGCGTATTTCTGTGTGTGTGTGAGAAAGAGAGAGGGAGCAAGGGTCAGACACAGAGACAGAGACAGAGAGAGAATGAACATATAATGAGATTTCAGGGCCAAGGCCCCTGTACTTCTCTTGGCTGCCACAGGCTTAGCCATGACAAACTGAAGGGGATCTGAGAGTTTCCTGATTTAGGGCTTGGGGTTGGGAAATTTGAAAGGCTAAGCTTTAGCCTACCCTGGACATAATAAAAGCCTCTGTTCTGCTTATGTGCTGGCTGTGATAGGTCCACTGCCAGTGCCCCCGTGTCCCCTGGGTAGAGCTCCCTGTCCAGGCCACGTTACAGGAAAGAAAGGACATCTCTCATGTTAGGAATGCGCAAGTCCCATAGCAAGATGTAGATGGTGCAGGTCAGCCAGACTGAAGATATGAAGAGGAGGTAGCCCAGGAAATTGACACAGGGCAAACGTGGATCTGCATTTAAAATTGTCATCTGGATGTTCTTTGATAAACTGTCAGTATACCACAAAGCACTTGGCACTGGGTTTCTTAGGGGCTGACAGGCACCGTTACTCCCCAGACTGGACCAGGAGACAGTGTCTCTTCCTACTTTTACTTGGTGGGGCAGCAGCAGAACGGGACAGACCCACCCTCCCCTTCCCCTCACCCCAGCTGGTCTTACTTTTGGGTTCAGTGAAGTGAATGTTCTGAGGATGGAAGTCCATAAGCATGGTCAAGAAATAGAAATATACCCGCAGTCTATGTTTCTTCTCCCAGTTCTTTGCTGTGGCCAAGACAGTGATAAGTGAGCAACAAAAAGAGCTCTGTAATTTATTTTCATTTTTCTGAGATGGTGTCTTGATATATAGTTCAGGCTGGCTCGAAACTTTCAATCCTTTTGCTTACTGTACCCAGTACTGTAAGAATACATGTGAGTCACAACCCCAGCCTCATCCCACACATATTGTTGAATGAGTGAACAAGGCCCCAGTTCCCTGTCCCATGGAGGATCTGAGGAAAGACCTTGTATGAGAGGGATCTTGAACTTGAGTAGCCTTTCTCGCCTGCTTGGAGCCCTTTCCCACAGGTGTGACTAAGAACCAGCTCCCTGAGGGGATGGTGTGATGACCTACCATAGAGGATACACTCTATGTACTCTTTGTTGTCAACATTCGCATGGTAGAACACCACTGCATAGTCACGGTAGTTGGTGTCTAACACTTTCATGGTGAAGCTCTGTAATCCCTTGTAACCTGGAGTGTGCAATCCAAGAGGTCATCCTTTCCTGACCAGAAGGAAGGGACTGTCCCCTTCCTCCTCAACCAGTCAGGAGAGCCTCCCCTCCAAACCCATCTGTGAGGCACAACAGGGTGGCCTGTGACCATTGCAGAGGAATCCCGTCCCTGACCTTCAACCCCAGGCCTTTCTCATGCAGAACTCACGTGTAACATCCTCCATGATATACTGGCTGCGCAGGCCACTTCGAACGAGTCTGTCTTGCTGGGTAAAACAGCCCTGGTCACTGCTAGAATAAGATGGTGTTGTGAATGGACAGAAAACAAAGCCTTAGTTCTCCTGGACTGTGTGAAGATGGGCACCTGCTGCAACAGGGTTCTGTGGCCCTTACCCACCCAGCCCATACCTTGCTTGGCCCATAGCTATGCACTGAACTTCCCCTTCTGAGTCTTGCCTGGTGTGCTAATCTTCCCTCCAGGATTCACTGTGTCCTCTCCTGCCTCCCTCGGGCAGCCTGTCTCACACTCAGAACCAAGGAAGTAACCCCTTCTTTTATCTTGCTGCTCCTCTTTGCCATGTCTCCTGGCAATTTCCTGTGGGCTTCCACTCTGCTCCATGCCAAGTACTGCCCCAGCTCTTAATCTAAAATTGACCTCTCTTCTGAGTCTACTCCATTCCTGCAGCCAGTATACCACAGTCACTTTAGCACCTATCATTTGCCTCTCAACAATAGAATGCTCCAATTCGAATCCAACCAGTGGCCAGAGCCAGAATTCACTGCAGGTCCTTGAGCCAGAACTCCCGCCTCTGTCACCCCCATTTGTGAGGGCCCACTCTTACCTTGGGGATTTTCCACAATTCTCTGTAAGATGTATGTCCAGATTCTGGCCCTTTAGGAGCCACATGTCAGACCCTGGGTTTGAGTGAGACACCCACAGGACTGGCCTGAGAGTGCTGCCCTCCATGCTGCTCAACAGATGCTGCTCTGTGGCCACACCGATGGCTGGCTTACCTCTTAAATTGAGGCACTGTCACTCAGAGTCCAGCAGCCCTAGTGGTGTTCCATGTATCTTCATTTTTCATAGTGCTGATGTGATGGAGACCACTAGGAAGCAGCCTGGAGCAGGACTTAAATTAACCTAATGGGCTTTTCATGTTTATTTGTGAATCTGTCCAAGTCCTAGGTCCCTTGTCTGGAAATTAGTGGCAGACTCAGTAAGTGATCCTCTGTGAGTCACTAGTTCTTACTGAGGTGTCTATTGGCAGCTGCAGCTGGAAAGTCTCAAACGATAAGATAGGATCACAGCCAAGAAACCCTGGATCCAACCTCAACTAGATAAAGACTGTATCAATTAGATAAAGCCTCAGCCATCTCACTCCTGGGTGGATTAATTTAAGACTGTGCATGGGGAAGCCCTTTCATAGTTCCACCCCTCTTAAATATTTCCCTCCCTTCTTCTGATAACTTAAAAAACATGGGCCTCCCGGAGGAGTTCTTGGAGTTATCCCTGAGAGTCTCAAATTCTTTGAGAGGGTTTTGATCCTCTTGGAGCCCTGAAATCATTCCATTTGCCTCTTTTCATTAAGCCTTTGCCATACAGTTGTTTGGGAAATTGCAGCTCTGATCAGTCTGCAATACCTAAGCGATATTATTAACCTGATGCTGATGGCAGTGGTGAGAGTGCTACTCTGGATTGAACATAGGGCCAACACCGAGCTATATCCCAGAGCTCTGTTTTTGATCATTGCCAAGGGTGGTTTAAAACTTGTAATTATCCCACCTCAGCCTCTGAAACTGAGCCTGCTATGATTACAGACAGGGTGGTTCCTTGAAAGTCACTTCGTTACAAACCCTAGAGGAGAGACTGCGGGGTTCCTCATGAGTTCCACTGCCCCTACTCTGCTATTTTTTCCTACTGTTTTACAGACTATTTGTGCTGCAGCAACCCATGACTGTTGATGGGAGGGAAGGGAGTAGAATGGGAACAAGTGAAGGGGTAGAAATGGGAGAGAAATTGGGAAAAGGAAGGGTAGGAGAGAAGCAGCAAGGAAAGGAGGAAGATTGGCTCAGGGCAGAGCAGTGAGATGAAGCACAGCTTCCCTCATTTTGTTCACTCCTTGGTGATTACACTGTTCAGCCACTCTGACCCGAGGACCTGGCATCATTACCTGTACCAGAGGGAGGTGACACTGTAGCTGTGGTCATCCTTCAGCTCAAAGGTGGTGCTCACCATGTCCATGTTGCTCAAGCTTTCATTCACAAATGTGTTCAGTGCCCATGCCATGATTCCCCACTTTCCCTGGAACTGCAAGGGACTGGCGATAAGCAGAGCCCAGAGATGGCTGGGAGCCACATGTCCAAAGCTGTCCTTGTTGGTACCCAGGGACAGTCCTCTGGGAAGCACAGCCTAGAAATAGGCTGTCCTGAGAAAACTGCAGGAGGTAGAGCCCTTAACAGCTAGGAGAGACCCAGGGCAGAGAACTAACCCTGAACAGTCAGCAGTGGAGTGGCCCTGACGAAGTGGCTGGTGAACCTTGCAGAACCTCAATTTCCTTGTCTGAGCAGAGGGTACATATGTCTTCACCTCATATGCTCAGGACCTGGACTCCCCGTGGCTTTCCACACTGAATGTATTTGCCCACCATCCTCAATGCTCTATTATCACTGTCCCTGTCCCCAACCCCTCTTGACACCTATCTTTCTAGAACCCTACCTTCTTATCCTGAAAGCCTCCTTGCTTGGGGGAATTGCTCAGCGATGGTCTCCACAAAGCTTTCTCGGCGGAGTTCGTGGCCTGGGTCATCAGAGCCCATAGCAGTGTGAGGCACAGCTGCAGAAGACCCAGGGCCATGGCTGCAGATAAGTTGCTGGGCTGGCAGGTCCTGCAAGAAGAAGAGGATGGCTGAGGAGCCCAGGCAGGGGGACCTATTTATGTCCACCAATCCGCCACCCACTGAGAGTGGGCTGATCCGCCCTTTGCAAAATCCAGAAATGGTGGCTTTTACCAGCAATGCCTTCAGAAGCACCTGACCAGATGTCTTCCCTCCCCATGTCCCTGGTCATGCTTGTGCAAAGTAAAGGTCAAGGCTACAAGGGACAGGAAAAACACGCAAAGACCTGCACAGTGCGTCATGGACAAGGGCCCCCTATGTGTGCTCACCACACCTCTTCCCTTCATCGGGTTGACCTCTCCGTGGGTCAGCAGCTTGAAATCACCCAAGTTGTCCTGACTAACATTGTGAATCCATGATGTGTGTGTGTGAGTGTGCGTGTAAATGTCAACTCTCTCTACCCACAAAGTACTGCCAGGTGTGTTGGATTATCCCTGCAATTCCAGCACTCAGTCTCAGATGGGAAGATTGCTGGAATTTTAAGGCAAGTCTGGGCTATACAGTGACGTCCCGAATAGCCTAAAGTACATGAGGAGCTGTTTTAAGAAATAAGGAAGACAGAAAAAAAGAAAGAAGAAGAAAAAGAACAGATAAGATAATCAAGAGTATTCACTCATACATGTCCCCTGACTCATTTTGGATCCTGTAAGGGGCAGGCAAGGATGGGGCAGCTGACAGTGAAGGACAGGGAAGGACAGGGTGTCTCTTCTGAGCTCACTAATCCCAGATCGTGGCCTTCCCAGGAGCCTTATTCCATCCTGAAGAGCAGTGAGATGCCTTGAGTGTCTCTTCTCCCCCGTACCTCTACCCCCACTGGCAGGAGCAGTCAGGACAGCAGGGGAACCTCAGGAAACCTCCCTGTCCTGAGAGCTCTGCAAGCAGAGACCCAGAGCCAGGATCATGGGCCACCGATTTGCCTCCTTCACTTACCTGGCTCCTGAGGCTGCAGCTGCAGCTGACAGTGGAGCCCTGGCAGAGGGACAGTGGAGGCCAGCTATCTGCCTGGGACAAAGTTGGCTCTGCTCTGCTGCTATGTGCGGCAGTGGTTTGGGTCACAGTGTGCCTGCAATTGGCTTCTCTTGAGAAGAAATTTCGACCAATCCTCTGTCTCTAGACATGTTTTTGAGCCATAGATCCCAGTGACTGGAAACAGGGTCTCAGATAGGTCCCTGAGATCAATGATCCTTCACTTGTCCCTAAGGTAGACTACGTCTTCACTAGGGACCGGTCCACATCCTGGGGGAAGATCAAAAACCTCAGGCCCTGTGCAGTGTCCCTTACAGATGGCCCACCCATGAGGTCATTGACTGTCCCAAACGCTTAACTTGAGGTTGGACTGGAATCCTGGCTAACTAGTCTCTCGTCATCTCAGCTCACCTGATTTTTATGACCCATCCTAGTCTCTGAGGTCATGGGCTCTAAGGGAAGGGGCACTAAATGGGGATCCTGAGCTGGGGGTGATGTGCAGCCTAAGCCTCCCACACCAGACAGCCCACATTGTTTCCTGCCTCACCCACCTGTACTGGATAATGAAAGGCAGGAAGAGAAGCTGTGCAAAATTGTGGCCATCAGAACCTGTCACATTCCCAGCCCTCTCTCTTCTCTTATCTCAGTCCTACAAGATTCTCTTACACTGCTCTCTATGACCTCAAAGAGGGTCCTCTGCAGGACAGGGTGCCATGTACCTAGTCTCAGCTCTGTGGGAGAATATGTTCCGATTGCAAATTTGACCCTGCCTAGACAACTTACTGACACCCTTTCTCAAATATGTAATAAATAAAATAAAAAGAGCACTCCACCTCTCCTTCAGTGGGCAGGAAGCCCTGGAGCACATCACTGAGGCCAAGGGGGAGGATGGCCAACCCTTTGTTTCAGAGTCAATTTAGGCAGCAAATTAATTCTGATATGCTGGAAAATATATTTAATGCTTTTGGATCTGTGATGTTTATCACACAGTGGCATCTGAAACACGGAATATTTCACAGTGAATACTGTGAGCTGGAAGGAAAACAAGTTTAAAAGTGATTTATAACAAAGAATCTTACATTGGGCAGGTGTTTTCCCAAATAAGAACTTTGTGTTGATGAAGATGTTTGTGGTTATATCAAGGATACTGAGTACTGGATAACAAAAATGAAAGACTAGATGGCAGCAGTGATCTACATGGAACAGAAATGTCCTAAACGAGGAAGGATCAATGGTTGTTGTAGCCAGAAAACAAAGAGGTGAATTTCTCATCTTTCTTGTTTCTATTAAAATGGCACTGACATTCCATCTTCTCTAGAAAAAGTAGCTACTATCACGCATTCAAAAGGTCACAAATGATGGCAAAGCTTGGAGGGGGAGGCTGATTTTACATTATTGGTGGGAATTTAAACTACTACAACCACTTCAGGAAACACTATGGAAAACTCAAAACACTAAAAATACAATATTCCGTCTGACCCAGCTATTCCCCGTATGGGTAACATCCTTGAAGAAATTATATATGTCACATCCTACTTATACTTGCATACCCATGTATATTTCACCACAATTTGTAATCGCTAAATTCTGAAGTAGGTTCTTGGTCTAACAACAGAGGTACTGATAACAAATGTGATATATATATATAATCTGTCATAAAGAACAGGATCTTGATTGATTTTCATAAAATGCATTCATCTTGGGTTCATAATGTTAAGTGACATAAATCAGATGAGCAAGGTTAAATGTCATATAGTTTCTCTTTTATATGAAACCCTAAAGTAGAAATGAAGAACAAAATGAAAGAAAGAGAATAAGGCAGAGGAAGACAGATCTTTGGCAAAGTGGAGTAGTACCAACAGAAAAAGTGAGGAGAGAAGGGAAGGCAAAGTGATAAAAAACAATTAAGATGCATTGGGCAGGGGGTCCAACTCCTGATGAGGAATGCACTCATTATGTCCTGCAAGCATGTGCTTATAAAAAATGAAAACTGGAAAAAAGTAAAACAAAAAAGTTTCCTGAATAAAAAATACCTCAACTGATGTCACTTTAAATTATTAAAATAATATACTGGAAAAAATATGCCAGCTGGACTTTGAATGTTTCTCTTTCTGTAAAGGAGCTTCATGGATATCTATTATTTCGACTTCTAAAGATTTTGGTTGCCTACTACATTTTCCTCGGTGAAGAGTATTGTTTGTGCATTATAGAGTGTCCTGTGGCTCATGTGTCCAGCTTGTTAGTGGAAAGATATATGAAGAGTAAAGTTCTTAATTGCTGTTGGCATCTTCCTAGCAATTCTTGAGAAAACAGTTTTGTGCAATGAAACCAAAACCATCACCAGCACTGGGCTGTCAACCCAAGGTCTGTTGACGCTTCCAGGGCTGATATCTGTGTCAAGTGGTCCTTAGCCCACCTCCTTGTGAGCACAGTGAGCTTGGGTTTCTACGGCATTGTGAAGCCTCCTTTAGGGACATTTATGGTAGGGTAATTGGCCAGGGACTGTTTTACTTCATTTTTGTGGTTTTTGAAGGCTGCATGAGAATTATTTGGGTGATTGATTCTGGTCTTGTTTTTCTGGGTAATCTCTCTCTCCTTGAGTGTGGTAGTGCTGGTGGTCTTTTTATAAGTTTGGCAGAAACTATGAAGGCTTCAAGGGTAAGAAAGAACATGGAGAAAGTTTCACTATACAGTCGCTTTGCAAATACCCTTATCTGTGCCATGGTATCTTCTTTAGTGTTTACAGTGCGGACAGCTAAGGCAATCAGAATTGCAGCATGTTCTCTAAGTTCTTTGAGACACGTTCTCATTGGGTAGGTCAGGCTGGCCCAGAACTCATTATGTAGCCCAAGCTGACTCAGAACTCTATGGATTCTCCTGCTTTCGGCCTCCTTCAGTGCTGGGAGTATCTGTGTCTGTCACCACGCCTGGTTTCAATTTTGTTCAGAAATAACTTGTGCCTGCCAGTTTGAAGATAAATCATGTATGTGTGTATCATAGGTAGACTCCATACTGCCAATGTTTCTGTCTCTCTAAAGATAGCTAACTTCTTTCCCAATCACTTCAGAATATTTCTAGTAGAGCATGTGCTGTATATGTATCACACATATGTCATCTGCTCGAGTAGTGACTTGTACCTTTCTCTGGACCTCCTTAGTCCCCACAGTAGGCTAATGAGAATATACCTTAGCTCCATTGCTGTGTTGGTCTTTGCCTTTGCAAGTCAAGTGAAGGGTGGAGGGAGAGCAGCTAGCCTGGGTTCCTGTGTTGCTTTGCCTCACTGCTGCACCCCTGCATGAGGTGTCCATACTGGTCATGGTGGCCTTTCATTACTTCCCTCAGTTTCCGCTCATGAAACCACCATGATGGGTCTCCACCTTAATGAGTGGGTCTGCGAAAACAGGTCCAGTTTTCTGTATTTCTGGCCAAAATACTCAAGAGCTCTTCTTATGCAGTTTGAGTTATACCTATGTGGAGTGTGAAATATTCTGGAAAGGAATTTTTGTGGTTCACTTTAAGTTAGTGTCTACATGGCTTGTTTAAAGTACAGTCATTTTTCAAAATAATGAAAAATAGGTGAATAATTGATGCGTCAGAGATGACAGAATATTCCCATACTTTTTCTGTGAAGAAAAATTTTGGTGTCTTTCTTATATTATAAAGATTTCCTCTCTATATTATAGTATGTATGTTTGCACTTGTATATCAAGATGGAAAGTCTTGAAAATGTATGTGGAACATAGATGTGCATGTCCTCATTTTGGAAGTGGCTAGAGTTTGTCTCACTGGCTCCACACTACTAAGATTGAGAGATATTATGCTAGATTTATGATCTAGTTCTACTTCTTCTGTCTTTGTCTGATGAAGAGGATACAAGAACCAACACAAACTCCAGGCCTTCTCAACCTTATCCTTCAAAGAGAGAAGTTTATTAGACAGATAAAACTGCAGACATTTAAAAGTTACTTAAATAACAAAATAAGAATTTTATTTT